GATTGGACTGAAAATATATTAACAGTATTTTTTCTCACTGGGATTCAAAGAAATGTAACTTAACAAGAAAATGGAATATTTACTAACATCTGCTAACACAAACTAAAGTATGCTAATATGAAGGGGAAAACTATCTTCAAATATTTGTTTAGTATAATGAAAATTGACTTAACCATTCCAGGAAATGACATATCAAAGATCTGAGAAATTGAACCTCAAATGCTTTTTTACTCAGTCATTGCAGTTGGAGGAATTACCATAAAGAAATAGTTAGAAATATGCAAAAAGTTCCGTACAAGGGTGCTTTTGTGGTCCATCTCTCCTAGTCCCTATGGCGGCATTGGTAAGAGTGCTTTATCATTGACATACATTTACGTGGCTTTTTTTTTTTTTAACCCAGGAGCTGACAAGTTCACGTATTTTCAGTTTCATTATGGATCAATTCCGGATCTGTATACTGTCTAATGAAGTTCCTTCTGGGCTTCTTCATAACTGATTTAATTAGACTTTGTGAAATCAACACAATTACCATGTTTGGAAAAATTTGACAACACGCCAGTCTCTTTACCTAAACCCCAACTTAAAAAGCCAAGTGGAGAGGGAAGAGGCACAGGGAGGAGTTTTTGCAAATGAGCCATCACATAAAACTCAACCGGTGGGCCACCTGGACACGAGAAACAGCAAAGGAGCGAGTACTGTCGCTCCGTGGCGAGGGCGCTGCAGCCTCTCTACGCCAGTACCTGGCGTCTGCTACAGCAGATCCGATCTTTTTCTTCTTATACAGGTTAGTTCTGTGACCTTTACTTCCTTGAAGACTCTGGGGCTTAATGGAATTTTTAAGTTTTTATTTTATGCTGTGTCACTGTCTTATTAAAAGAATATCCTTGTGCTTTGTATACTCAATCGAAAGACAAAGGCTAAGTAGTTGGTATGGACTATTCACAGGAAGGGGAAAAAAAAATTCATCAAAGAACCAATTCGCCAGCATTTTCGAAAGACAAAGGCTAAGTAGTTGGTATGGACTATTCACAGGAAGGGGAAAAAAAAAGAATTCATCAAAGAACCAATTCACCAACTTTTCTGCCGGGCCAGAAGACAGGTTAGGAAGAGTCCGCTAAGGTGGAAAGAGGGATTTGGCCACTGCTCCAGATGAGGGGATAAACCAGGCCGTTGGTCTGAACTAGGGTTTAAGGAGAGCTGCTGTGGGACCCAGAGAGGATAAGGATGAGGGTACGCTTACAGGACACTACATGTGAATTGCATGTGTGAGTAGCTTCCGTACTTCAATGGTCAAGGAATTCAAATACTCTAAAGACAGCATTGGAGTAAACATTTTTGATATTTGAAAACTGGGTTTCCTAACAAACATGTATACCCGGATGGATATTGCTTTGAGTGCATGGATCTGCTTTTCAAATTCATAAACGATAGATTCTCTACCCACAGTATTTCTGTGATTGTTTTTCCTTCTCAATTTGGGCTTACTCTGCTGCTGTGTCGCCCAGGGCCCTGGCTGAAATGACAACACTGCTAAGTACTTAGGAGACCTCTGCATTATCCCGTGGGCAGGAGGGATTATTTGCTCTTGTATTCAGTAAAGCCCTGGCTTCTTAGCCTCTGGTTACATTTGCAAGTAGTAGCGACACATCAGCAGTTTGGGCTATGCAAAAATGCTTTCAAGGAAAAAACTTACTAAGGGCCTCTAGGTCAAAAAAAAGCCTCATATTTTAATACCTGCTGTAATCCTCTATAACATAAACCTGTTAAAATGCAGTAGAGAATTCCGTCTGCTGCCTCTGAAGATAAACGAGGCAATCACAAGCTGTAAATGCAGGGGCTGGATATTAAGGAGGAGGGATGACCT